CTCAGATTTGAAGAACGGAGGTTTATTATTAGAGGAGCTAATCGCTTCATTCGACGGAAAAACCAATCCTTTCCGTTGCTTCACTTCCGATCAGATCCTCAAAGCGACCGAGAATTTCTCAGAGAGTCGAATCATCTCAAGCTGGGGATATTTCGTATGGTACAGAGGCGTAATCGAAGAAAGACCAGTTTCGATCAAGAAATGGTCGACCCAAAACCTCTCAAGCTTCACAGAAGCGTATCGTGACATCTCTGTATCGTCTCAGATGAGTGGACACAACAACTCTCTTAAGCTTCTAGGTTGTTGTCTGGAATTTGATCTTCCTGCTTTAGTCTGTGAATACACACAACACGGACCGCTAAACAGAGACGGAGGAATCTCTAGTGGTGAGGTTTTACCATGGAAAGTGAGATTGAAGATAGCTAAAGAGATCGCTAGCTCTGTGACTTATCTCCACACGGCGTTTCCAGAGACTATAATCCATCGGAATATAAATCCGACCAACATTTTCATCGATGAGAATTGGACAGCGAAGCTTTCTGATTTCTGGTTCTGTGTTGCAATACCAGAAGGGGAATTGTATGTAGAAGACGATGTGAAAGGTGTTATTGGTTTTGTTGATCCAGATTATTACTGGACAATGAAAGTTACAGAGAAAGTTGATATTTATAGTTTCGGTGTTGTGATGTTGGTTTTGTTGTCTGGAAGAGCTGCTGTGTTTAATGGACCAGAGGAGACTCCAATGTCGCTTAATGATCATGTCTCTGAGGTAATGGAGAAAGGTGGGTTTGATGAGATTGTTGATAAAGAGATATGGAATGTTTTAGATGGTGATGATGATTTGGTTTTGAGACGGTCACAAGTTGAAGCTTTTCTTAGATTAGCATTGAGATGTGTAAGATATAAGAAAGTAGATCCAGTGAGTAGTATGATTGAAGTTGCTAAAGAGCTCAAATTGATTGAGAAATTCTCTTAATTAGTTTCTTTTACTCTTCAAGATTGTTCAACCACTGAGAATTTAGTGGTTTCTTGTGTTTACTTGTCTCTGTCTTTCTCTATGAATGTCAAATTTGTTTCTTCATTGATTCCATTATCAGATCATGTGATTATCGAAGATGGTAACATTTTGCTTTTCAAAGTGAAACAAACAAAAGTGTGAACACATTTCGTCTCTGAAAGTCAACTCTTTTCTTTAGCCGACTAAAGTGTGAACACGCTTTTGTGGATCTTAGCCACTTTTTTTTGGGGAATAAACTGTTTAATAACCAATTTTGATGTGGCTTCGTTCTCTTGTTCTGCAGCAGTCATGGTGCTTTCGCTTATGAGGTAAGATTTGGATTCTGATTTCAATATCAAAGACGTTATTATGACTCGGATTCTAAGTCTTGTCTACAAATCTCTCTTTCTGCTTTGGTGTTTATTAGCTCCATTGATTGTGATAAAACTCATCAACTACTATTGACCATTTCTTAGTCCCAGTTTCGTTGTGTAGACATTAGAGATCTGATCAGATTTGCAAGAAACCCAATCTACTTTTCTTCATTGCAAAACCAATGATTTGAACTATTCTCTCTTTTTCAGCTGTTGAGAGTGGATTAAAGGAGTTTCTAGAGGAAGTTAAAGTTTACTCACAGACAGAGTCTATTATCTATAACATGGATTGGTTGAGGACTAAAAAAATCGGAGCCAAGACAAAGCAGAGGAATGTCAAAGAGAATGGTGAGGTTATTCTGAAAGAGCTCGTTGAATGTTGTGATGGAAAGTGCAATCCTATCAAGAACTTCTCTTTCGATCAGATCATCAAAGCAACAGATAACTTCTGCCAAAGTAACCGTGCTTCTCGGATTGATATCTATTACCGTTGTTATAAAGGCATGCTCGATGACCGTCCTGTGCTCATCAAGAAAGGGAAATACCAACTTGATATGAAAGAGATTTGTCGTGACATAGCGATCTCATCAATGGTGAGTGGTCATAAGAACTTCCTTAAGTTGGTGGGATATTGTCTTGAGTGCACTCCTCCTGTCTTAGTTTTTGAGTATGCAGAGATTATAACTCTTGGTCCATTACTTGCGTCTAATCCGAGAAATCTGAGGAGGATAAAGATAGCAAGAGAGGTCGCAAACGCTTTGACTTACCTCCACACCGCATTCTCAAGGGCTTTCATCCATTCAAATCTTGATCATTTCACCATTTTCTTAGATGGAAATGGGATCGCAAAGCTCGGGAATTTCTGTAATTGTATCTCCATTCCCGAAGGCGAGACCTTTGTTCATGATGATGCATTGCAGAAATACAATGAGTATAGGCGCAATACCTTAAAAGAAACACACGTACTTGGTGTATGTTACTTACCAGTCATTGATCCTGAATACAAGTCAACCGGTAAGGTCACGACAAAGACCGATATGCACAGCTTTGGAGCATTCATGCTAGCTCTTTTGCAGATAAAGGAAGTTGATGATGAGCTATCTCTCTCTCCTGGTTTACTCAAAGCATTAGCTGATTTGTTCATCAAACCTTACGACGATGCTCGTTTCCCGCTTCACCATTATGTATCAAAGATACTGAAGAAGTTTGGGTATGCAGAGGTTATTACAAGTTCAGATATAAGTAGAAATGTGAGTGATGTAGCTGCTTCGCCTGTTAAAGCGTTTCTTAGATTAGCATTGAGATGCATCGGATGTAACCTAGGAGACCCATTAACTAGCATGATTCAAGTGGCTAAAGAGCTCAGAGTCATTGATAAGTCTGACACGTAAAGATTTTCTCCTTAAAAGTGATATATAAAATGTCACACATTTACTTGGACTAATAAATTTGGTGGGTTGAGCCAGGCCCGTGCAGTAGTGCAACGCATGGGCGACTCGTGAAAACCCAGATAGCAAGCTATCTTAACGGGCCTTCTCCCTMAAAAAATAGAGTTAATATCGTGTGGCCCGATGGACCACATATCAGATATTAAACTGATAAGAACAGATACTACACTTGATCTTAGCCAAAAGGCCGAGAAAGGTATGAATTGAAATATATGCTTAGCTTCCTTTATATACTATCAAGGTATCACCAACGCTTCTCTATATCATCGATGTGGGACTTTTTGAAAAGAGACTCTTTGAAAAACAATCAATACGACGTAGCTTCTTCTTCTTCACTTTTAAAGTGTCGATTATTTTCAAATACGAAGGCTGGAAATTCCTTCTCCTACCTAATGAAGAAAGATGGAAAATTTCGAAACTTTTATTCCAAAAAAAAGGAAAAATGGAAGAAGATGTTTCAGTGAATCAATGGTCTTATAAACTTATTATCTCGATCTGCAATGCAATAATTTTTCTAGCCAAGATCAGATACAAGGCTGTACAGACAGGAGTCACAAGACTGGAGCATTGTTTGCTAGTAGATTTGAAGGTTTAGTCCTTTCTCTTCGAGTTCGTGATTTGTCAAGTTGAGACCTGAGCTTTTTGCTTCAATGAGGTTAAAGTCTTCACAACCTTCATGTATTGGATTCATACATAAAGGGAAAACAGCTTGTCAAATTTTGCTGACCACTGTCCATTCATGAGCCAGGTTTCGCGGGTTTTGTTGTTGCTTTCCGAGGTTTGAGCTAGAATCTGCGTCCTGCCAAAAGAGTTCTCACTGGAATCAACACAAAGCGTAAAGATTGGCGTAAAACTGATGATTTTGTTTTGTGATTAACTTCATACTTGAATGAGTCTAGGAACAGTCCGAGGGAGAGTCAGGTCTTCCAATAGTTAAACATGGTGATTGTGCTCCGCATCTTGTTGATAAATGGAACGGATGCTCTGTACATTAAAGCTCCGATGCATTCAACTACAATAACAGCCAATGCAGCTGATAGAACATCCCAGTCTCCTGTTTGTCGTATAAATGTAGAGAATGCGGTTGCAGAGTAGAAACCAACCAAAAGAAAGTATAGTTTCATGGGGAGATCTTTCTTTATCTCCTGAATTTTCACCAGAAGCTTACTTCTGAGATCTTGTATGGCTTTGATTAATCTTGGACATCTGGAGCTTTTATTACTTGAAGAACCGAATGGTGGATCGAATCTGCCCCCACCAACCGAGCTCCTGATCGTTGTCGATGACATACTCCTGGAAAATGCAAAAGACACACTTAAAATTGGAATTCTATATATTCTTTAAGAAACAACAAGCCTAAGGTAATTAGATACAAGTATTTGGCTTGGAGGCCTAAGGGCTTCACTACTCCATACTAAATCCAATAAAGCACAAAAAAAACATGATTTTAGATACTCTTTTATGTAACCATAGGTTATAGTGGTTGGTTATGGTCTTCTTCATAGAACATTTACAGAGAATTGCACAAGAGATTCAAGTTTTACCAAAATCCTCCATCTCTTTGTGTTTTAAGCAGATCATTACATAAACAGCCACAGTTACTATAATTTGTATCATATCATAAATTCTATAACTTGAAAGCCACAAAGCACTGATCCTTCCAAAGTTAAGAACTCACCTTTGACAGAGAAAACAAATTTCCAAGCACCTTTGTCTCTGAAACTCCTCTTTGGTAAATAGAAGTTACTTCCACACGTGGGAGTAATGTCACCGTGATGGCTAATCCCATGACACAGCTAGAAGAAATGTTATTTTCTGACACAGATGCAGCTACTCCCTAGACCACAAAGTTTCAGCATATCAATTTCACAATCCAATCAACACATCAAAATAGCAACCTTGTTGAGAGAAGAACCAAAGTGTGTGGTTTCAACAACGAGGTGATAAAGAACGAGCTAACATTAGAATTCAAGTAACTGGAGTTCCATTAGTTAAAACTCGCAGAAAGAAGGTGCAATCATAAACGGAGAAGGTACCAGAAACTGGATTCAAGAACCACACAAGCCCAACATATTAAAAGGTGAAATCAAATACTTGTACAATTCAGCTAGGCATTTCCACAAATACCTTGTAGACAGCTCAAGAAAACACTAATTTTACCCAGATTCCTAAGTTCCTCCACGCCCATTACTCTATAAAATCAATCCTTTCGACTGTCTACGACTAAAGACCTGAAATTCAAAACAGATAACGATTGAAAACAGTAAGCAAAACGGTGAGAATATTGAGTTCAAAATTTTTAATTTACAGAGGAGTATCACAATTTAATTGGGTCGAGATTATAATTTGGACTAATAAATTTGGTGGGTTGAGCCAGGCCCGTGCAGTAGTGCAACGCATGGGCGACTCGTAAAAATCCAGATAGCAAGCTAGCTATCTTAATGGGCCTTCTCCCTAAAAAAATAGAGTTAATATCGTGTGGTCCGATATCAGATATTAAACTGATAAGAACAGATACTACACTTGATCTTAGCCAAAAGGCCGAGAAAGGTATGAGTTGCAAGAGGAGCCTAGCTTTCTTTTTATACTACCAAGGTTACACCAACGCTTCTCTATATTATCGATGTGGGACTTTAGACAAATACGACGAATCGTTATAGGCTGCTTCTTCGTCTTCTATCTCACGAAGAAAAGAGGAAAACGTTAAAAAGGTTATTCAAAACTTGTTTGTAATGATGAAATCTTGTAATTTCAATTTGGATTAGGTAATTAGGGCACTTTCCTCGTACAAATCTGAGCTGTTCTTGTGTTTCCTTCTGGGTATTGGTCGGAAATTTCTTCAGTCAGAGCAATTCCATGATTAAATATCCTTCTTTCTTCATCCTCATATGGGTTTACATCTTCTGCAGTGTACGTACTGGATCTGGTATGGTTTCTTTATTTCCATACATATACGTGTTTTAATTCTGTAGTTTCTTGGTCTTAATTGACACTGTAGATCCGATTAGGCAATATATCACCTTTTGTCTACCATAGAGAGACTTGTCACAAGAGGATAAAACCAACAACATTAAAATAGAATTCCCACTTGAGATGCTAAATAGTATCCTCTACATGATGAGCATGTTCATCAGATCAAAATCCTTATCTCTACAAATAACTTTGACAATTACTTTTTAAGTTTGTTTAAGTAAATAAATGGTAACAAGGGATTCTCTAAGAAGTACAACAATTTTGGCTTCTAATCACTTACATAGACCACACTTCCCTAAGAAGGTCATATCTTACATTTGTAACCACTGCACCTATTGTGTGCTCGGTTTGCTGCTTCACATTGTGTCTTGGAATTGGTGATACCGACACTTTCTCGATGATAAATGTAAGAGGAGAATCCAGTTCCTCAAGCTCTTCATCGCTCGTGTATCCTTTTCTTTGTATCACAGACGCATTCCTCGACATTCTAGAGATGTCTCCTCCTCCTGCCTCTGCAACTTTCTCTGCTACGTTGATTGATGATGGAGGAATGTAGGAAACCGGAGAAGCTGCATAAGGGAAGCTAACTTCAGATAACTTCTGCTCTGCAATGCTCTGAGGAAAAACAAAAAGAAGTATAACTGAGTGTAAAGAAGAGCAGAGAGAAGAAGGATTTGGTTTTGTTACCTCGACGTTAAGCTCTTCTAGGACAGCTCCAGGAACATCATCAGGACAGAACTCGTCAGGTGTGAAGTTGCAGAGAATTCTTTTGATCAGTGAAAGACTGATTGATGGACATACCTATGAATCAATCAAAGTAAAAAAAAGTCTGTTTGAGAGAGAGCTAAATCAAGAACTTAAAGAGTGATAATAGACATCAAAACAAAACCTCTTCTCTAATGGATAGGTCCATAAGCATGTCTTTTGGGAGCATAAGTAGATCGCTGAGTTCGTTTAACAAACTGAATGGTTTCTCGCTTTCTATGAGCTCATCTTCTTCTACAGAATCTGTAGTGTTTATGTCGAACATTTCAGCGAGGCATCTAGACCAATTCCCAATCTACAAGTGAGAGATAATAACATTCAAGAACGTTAGTGTTTTTTTTTTTCATGTGAAGTGAATATAACAAATCTGATTCATGTTTCTTGATGTTGTACCGCGTTTTTAAGTTGTGCCCCGGATCCAAAGCTTAAGTCTCCAGAAGGGATAGGAAGAACTTTGGAATCAAGGATAGGATCAGAGACAGGATCCGTGGGGATCTGATCCTCGGATTCGCGCAGTATAGCATTAAACATGGCTACGTCAACTCGAGCTATACACTTCTCCATTACCTGTTAAAAAGACAGTCGATAAATAAGATTCCAAAAGCTTTTTACATAGTTTAGGCTACTGCCTTGGACTTCAAAATGTAGAGTTTTGAGTACCATTTTAGCCAAGATACGTAAGCAACCACACTCGTGCCCGGCTCCACGCGTAGGACAGAGCCGCGATAGAGCAGCTTTGAAAGCGTTTTGCCATAGGCTAATTGAAAAGCTTCCTTTCTCTTGATCTCCCAAGACAGGTCCCATTAGTTTCTCATTCGTTTTACCGCCGTTTTCCGGGGATTGCATATGAGGAGTGAAAACCTGCAAGACAGCAGAACAAGAACATGTTTAAGATGCCTGAAAGAAGAAAACTTTCATAAAATTTCAGTGAAAGATGGAGTTTTTCTTGAAATTTCACCTGCCACCAAACAGATTCAACGATTCTAGAAAAAATCCAGAATTCGACTTTCCCTAATGCTGCAATGAAGGTTTCTGTTTCTTGCCAATCTTCGAAAACCCGTTTGAAACCATTTTGTTTCTGGTTCTTCCTCCTTCTTACCTTCCCTGAACCATTTTGTTCACTCCCATTTGATTCAGAGGTTTGTGTGAAATGACTCGGAACATGAGACTTACCAAACGCCTGTGAAATGATCTCTCTCAAAGCAATAATGTTCGATAACCAGAAGGTTAACCTGAAATATACGGAACCAAGAAAAGGCTGAGAACATCAAGATCATAAAATCTACTACACTCACAATGTTAAATTGTGTTAATGTTACCTCGAAACATCATTTCCGCAAGATTTAGCAACTAAAATGAGACCAGAGACTGTGTTTTTAGCGATGGTTGCTCGTTTTCCTTGACTCCAATGTTTACAAGCATGGATATAGAGTCTAGAAATCCGCCTCGCAGGCGTGTGAAGCTTGTGAGCTGAGCTACTATGGTCTGGCACAACCGAATAGAGTGAAATCTCGAGCGCTGCAACTTCTCTTAACTCTTCTTCAAGTTTCTCAATTCTTGTCTCCAAATCCTCAACCTTTTGTTTCAACGCTTCCTCATCCTCACTTTTCTCTTCGACATCATCACCTGCTTCGTTCTCGCTTCCACCGCTAATGCCACCATTCGAAGCATCTTCAAAATCTTCCACTTCTTTTACCAAATGTTCCGCTCTCTCATCGACATTAACACCTTCACAAGTTTCTGAAAATGACACAGGATCCATCTTTTCATTAGCTATACCATCAAGCTCTTCGCTTTCTTCCTTATCATCGTCTTTCGCCAAGCCATTCACACTCTCTTCTTTCTCTGCAATAGACTCGGAATCTTGATGAGTCTCTAAAGACTCATTCACCGGATCATCATTTGATTTTGTAGTTATGGCATTCACTATATCTGAGACATTAGATTCTTCCTTAGTAGCTTCCAAAGGCTTGACTCTTTCTTGCCCTGAAGATCTTTTACCACTGTTAGACTTGTGCATCTTTTGATCTCTTTTCCCATTCTTCGTAGACCGATTCGACTGAACATTGCTGGTTGTTCTTCCCTTCATCATCAAGACTCTTTTTTCAACTTCTCACCATCACAGCCAAAGCAACAGTTTCTTGAGAAGTTTCAAGTAAAGCCTGCATAAAGAAACAGCTGTGATCTATAAGACTGAGACACAGAGGAAATGGACAAAAACTCAGTTGCGTATATTCCTGAACTCCAAGGCAAATCAGGACATAAAAAGCAAAACGACAACATTAGCAACACTTGTTTTGGTTTGTCTCAATCTACATGAAAAGAAAAAAAGGATTTTTTTTTTTCTTATAGTATTATAGTAAGAAAAGCCAAGCAGAAGCAATCAATAGATTCTCACGATTTCCAAAGTTGGTAAGAAAAATGAGTGTGTATATACTTGTACCTAGTGATTTTGATCATTCCCCTTAAAAAAAAACTATGATAATGTTTTCAGTTTCAGACACATGAGAACTTAAAGTGCAGAGAATCGAAACAGAGGAAAGATAACAAAAAAAATGGAAATTTTACGACGTAACTAAGAATCTCGAGGAAGAAACATAAAAAAAAGTTTCTGCTTCACTTCGGGATCATCAAGAAACAAGTTTCTTCAAATGAGCTATCTTTAATCTTGTAACCGTAAAAGCCACTTTCTCTCTCTCTCTGGCTCGTGGGATTTGTTGGAAAATATGAGTGGAGGATTTAAATGAGGCATTTAAACACATGGACCGTGTAACGGTACGGACCGTGAAGATCGTGGGTCGTTTGTGAATCATGCCGTTACTTACACATGTAACGTGACCGGGAAGCTGTCGGTGGTTCACGTGGTTTACCGGTAGTGGCCGGTCACATTGTACTGTAACTATATTACTTTAAAAAGTCATCAGAGAAAAATGATGACCGTATTGTCACTTTTCACTTTCGTCCTTCAGATCTTCTTGCCTTCCACTTCTAAACTGTTACTGTTATTGTTATTTAGATTCGAATTTTCTTTTGTTTTTACATAGAAGGATAATCTATTTTTGCAATGAAAAAATGATGTTATGTAGTTGTTACAAATATCAAAACTTTTTTTTTGTGTGTGAATGATTGGTATTCTATTGAAGGGGTTTTTGAAGAAATTATTGATTTGAGTTTTAGATGATTTTTGTGGTGGACAAAAGAAGAGAGTGTGGCCAAGGAGAGTTAAAGAGTATAGATCAGAAGAGATAATAATACTATTAAAATCCAGCTAGAAAATAATTAAAGCTAAAGTGTTGGTTATAGTTAGATATTTTTTTTATAAACATATAATGAGAGACGACAAAATACACTTTAAATGAGTATACCGACATAATGCAAATAATGAATTTTGGAAGTAGATGCAAAGAAATATCAATGCAGTTAGTAGCAACAGCAATAAGTAGACCAAACCAAATACACTTTAAATGAGCCAATTTGGTCAAATCATTAAAGTGTGCTAAGGATACCAAAATCTGGATTTCGGTTTAGATTTTCCGGTTCTAGAATCGGTTTAGTAGATCGGTTTAATCTAATTGGACAACTCGAAGTAAGGAGAAGAAAGGGATTCCAAAATCATACTTCTTTGGG